AGGTCTCCATGATCCCTATGAAATCGTACTTTTTTGTTTAGCAGAAGGACCAGTTCCTCCCGTTTGTTCTGCAAACTCCTAGCATTAGTGTACAGGCAAGTAAGTGTGCCATTGGAGGTCTTAGGCTTCCTTGTACTCATGGAGAAGCTCTGTAATTTAAAAATATTTTACTTTACTATATTTTTCTTCCGTACATACTTCACAAAATTTATTACAAATGTTGAAATAAGATCCACCTCACTATTGGTACAACTAGATGCACACTGAATACTGCTAAGCATTACTATTGGTAAAGTTCAACACTTCCATACTGCTTGATCCAAAGCTCAAAATCAGCAGGAAAAAATCCTTCTGATTCCAGTGCATCTTGGATCAGTCCATAGATCATCTTTCACCCACATAAAAAATTGTTACCATCTTCTCTATGTGGCAAGAGACAGTTACTGGACATAACAAATGTTTATATTACTTTAAGTCAGTCATCACTTCTAAAATTACCTCTGCAATTGTTGCAGAAAATAGTAATACTACAAATTTTCATGATCAGTGTCTCTGTGTGGGGCAACAAGACTCCTGGGTGCCCTGGGATCAGGGTAGATTCCCCCCCAACAGCCCCTGGGTTGATGGGGGATCTTGCCCTGGAAAAGGCTAAGGGCTGGCTTTACCTGCCTGCAGCCAGCTACCCAGAAATAGAGGCATGTGCATTTCCATTGCACCTTTTAAAAGCACACTCTCCCTGTGTGTGGGAGGGCACGCTGAGACTGACATCATAAAAAGGCATCTGGAGCTTTGGCGTGCAGCAGCAGCTGCCAAAGAGGGAGCACTAGCAGCATGGAGCTCCCCTACTGATTTGGTGGGGCCTGACAGGGACACCGAAGATCTGCCATTGAGCCAAACCAGAAGGAACCCAGAGGGGTTTCTGCTCCTGAAGGCAGGGATCATGACGTGTTCACCTGAGTGGTAGGACCTGCCTCGGGACTGAGCCCAGACGCTGGATGCCCAAGTGCTTTCCCCCATGCAGCACCACACCTGAACCACTCTGGGGCTTCCTTTATTTTTGTTTTGAGAGAAGGAGGAGCTGACATGGGAGAGTCCTGGTATGGCTCACGGAGGCCCAGAGATAAGGGCCAAGTAGCCTTGATTTAATTTGAATGTGAGAACCAGTGTGGGAAGACCTCACTTGGCTGTTCCCAGCACTACCAAGGAGAATAGTTGAGTGACAGGACACCTAGGGTGGCACCTAGGCAGTATGGACTTTTGAATTGTTCAGATGTAAGCACTGTCTTTCAGGCAATTGTGAAAATGGGTGAGGACATTTTTTGTGGCAGCCTTCTACATCACAGCAGCTGCAACTAGACCTGGTTGGCAAGTGGATGGGGTGTAGGGGAGGCAGAGCCCCAAGTTACCTACCTCAGTAGTAAGCCAACATGAGTCTAGAGAATTATCCTATTTCTGGAGGAATTTCTCTTTCTATCATTAACTTATGACAATCAAGACATGGCAGGAAAGTAGTGGAGGAGTCCACCCCAGGGCAGGAGGCTCCAGTTACCTAGCAGTATGTTAGACTGAAGTGCAGGGGAGGGACAATAATGTTCTAAATTACTGAGCTATTAAATTAATATCAGAGCCATGAAAAATAAATCAGTGTTGACCTAAAGTTCTCTCAATGCATAGATACTGTAACCCCGAAACCAGAGACATACACTTTCCCTATTTATAGGGATATTGGTTGTAACCATGTTGGTCTACAGGCATAGGCAGACAAGACTCTTGGGATAGAGGCATTATTGCTTATTAGACCAATGAGATAGTTGCAAAAAAAAATCTTAATTTGCAAGCTTTCAGGTCCAAATGCCCTTCATCAGGCAAAGGAGACTTTAAAGATAATAACATTTCTCCCAGGTAGAAATGAAACTTCATATTGCATAGGAGAACTAAAAGATGGTATGGTTCTCCTGAGTAGGAAAGTTCATTTTTTTAAAAATCTGCTCTGTGAGTATGCAAATTAGGTTCAAACAAAGGCTCCCCACCCTAAGAAGGAAGAAGCAAAATTCAGCAACCTGCATACCATCGGACACTTGAGGTAAATGGCCTACTCCAGCCCTTGCTTGAGCCTAATTTGCAGGCGCACAAGCAGCTTTTTTACAAATGTACTTTCCTACCCAGGAGAACTATGCCATCTTTTAGTTCTCCTGCACAATATGAAGTTTTGTTTCCACCTGGGAGAAATTTTACAATCTTTGAAATTTCCTTTGCCTTTGAATTCACCTTTTGGGCACTTGGGCCTGAAAGCTTTGAAATAAAGATTTTTTTTTGCAACTATCTAGCTGGTCTAATAAAAGATATTGCCTCTACCTACCCCAAGAGTTTTGTTTCCCTATCTATAGTCATTCCAAAGAGCAGAATATGACTGAGACATTTTATTTACAAGTATTTTTCCACTTACCTGTACAGCTACTACTGAAAGTACCTCAACTGAGATTCTATTAAACTCATCAAAACAGCCCCAAGCACCGGTCTGGGAAAGGCCTTTGTAAATGTTCCCACAAGACTGCAATAACAAAGTATAAGAGAAATTACAAATGGAATTACCTTCAGCAAAAAATGTATAATCCATTTTCCAGCCTATTTCTTTATAGTTTATTTGGAGAACCTCTACAACAGCAGCCAGAACCTTGTAAGTTACAGTATTTATAGCTCTGTATCACTTGCTACATGATTTGTTAACTGGACATATAGTATATATAGTTTGAGGAAAGGTCCTTTTTAAAGGTTAGTGCTATAGAATTACTGATGGCCCTGCTTAATGGAGGGTGAACAGACTGAATAAAAGAGGATTTAAGGCTGAGCCTTTCTACTGCACCAGATACATGAGGAAGATATATTCTGACACGTCAGCTTGATACAGTGACTGAGAGTTCAGCAGGCTTCTATTTGTTCAAAAATCCAGAATACTTTCAACGACAGTGACCACTTCCTTCCCACTAGCAGGAACAGTCAGTGTATGAGCACAGTTGAGAGACATGACAGTGCCTATCCTAAATGTATGAATAAAAGACAAAGTAGCTACACTGCATATGTTATTTATGAGAAAGTTATGTAAGGATGGTATGGAAGTAGCTTGTGCTCTGGTTAAATGTGCCATTATCACTGATTGTAAGTCCTAGCAACCTCATAGCATAGCTTTATACAGCCCAAGATCCAGATCAGTAACTTCTGGGCGGATAGTGTTTCATCTTTAAATCTCTTAGGTAATGATACAAAGAAGTAAGAAGATTTTCTGAAGTTTTATTCTACAAAAGGAACAGGATTCTGCCCTTTTCCAATCCAGTGAATGCAAGAAAGCTCCTAGTCATGAGGAATGAGGCTTTGCCAAGTTAAACTGGTAAGTTTAACTACTACAAGTACTGTAAGTTTAATGAACATAAGTTTAACTACTTTTAACTTTGGCAACTTTAACTTAAGTTAATTAATTAGTAAAGTCAGTTAACTTTACCAACTGGCAAGTTTAAGTACCAAGCTTAATGATACTCCACAATTACTTTGGGCAGAAACTTGAGAATTTTCAGAGTTACTCTATCTGGATAAAAATGGCATAGAGTGGATCTATCGTAAGGACTTGGATCTAATATACCTTTTTTGAAAATGTAAGAACCCCTTCAAATACAAGCTTATTGAGATGGTGGAGGCAAGCACCTTGTAGGTTGAAAGATAAAAAACCAGTCTCCACAATATAGATAGGGCATTACTGCCACTAGAATGACCATCTTAAATTTGAGCTTGCAAATGAACAGGTTAAGTTTTCCAAGGTCCAAGTGTGCTTCCCAACCTCACATTTCTGTTGGGTCCAAAAAGTAACTGCTGTAAAACGCCTTTCCACTGAGATGCAATGGAACTCTCTCTACGGCCCTCACTGCCAGAAACTCTCTGTAGCAGACTTTTGTGAAATACATTGCTGAAAAGGGATAGGAAAGGAGACTAAGACTAGTAAGTATGGCAGAAGACCAGCTTGGCTTAACAGGGAACTCATCACTAAACTAAACCACAACAAGGAAGCTACTAAGAAATGGAAACTTGGACAAAGAAATAGGGATGAGTATAATAGCATTGCTCAGGCATGCAGGGATGAAGCCAGGAAGGCCAAAGTGCAATTGGAGTTGCAGCTAGCAAGGGGTGTGAAGGGTAATAAGAAGGGTTTCTGCAAGTATGTCAGTAGCAAAAGGAGGATCAGGGAAAGCGTGGCTCCCTTACTGAACGGGGGAGGCAACCCTGTGACAGAGGATGCAAAAAAGGCAAATCAGACAGAAGCAGCAGTTTGCTGCAAGCAGCTGAGGAGACAACATCCAGCTGAGGTGCTTCTCAGGAACAACTTGAAGGTAAGAACAGGAGCTATGGGGATGGTTGGAGGCTCCTGGTCCTGGGCATGACCTGAAACTATAACTTGCTGGGGTAGGGAGGCCTGGTGGGACTACCTGTAGCAAGGCAGTACCATCCAAATAGCAGGACTGCTCACCCCACAGTGAAAGGTGGGTAGGGGAGCCTTAATAACCCCAGCCCCCACAACACTGTGGGTAAGAGGGCCAGACACAGCTGTGGCTACCTGAGCCCCGGGGTGGGGGTTGGGGGGGTAAGACCCTGGTGGAAGAGTGAGGGCCAAGCACAGCTGCAGCCACCTGATCCCCCCAAAGGTGTAAGACCCCAGAAGCCCCAGCATGAGGGGGCAGTTGAGCGGTCCCAGAGAGGGGGCAGTACTGTAGCCCTACAGAGAGGGCATGAGAGCCAAGGTGGCCCGCCCAGAGTAGGGGCTGTCTTTCCAACCCGAAGTGCTGTTTGTAATCTAGGTCCTGAATAGGGCTGAGGCGATGGCTTGAAGAGCAGCACACGGACCAACCCACACGAGTAAGAACGTCAGTGATATAGTGAAAGGGCCTAGTGAGAGGGCACAGTTGAAAGGCCCTGGCCAAAGGGCACAAGTTGAAGCCTCAGCGGGATGGACAGGCCAAGGTTAGAGTATGGATGCCTGAAGCCACAACTGGCCAAAGGCTGAGTGTGTGGTTCAGCCAAGGAGTCAGAGCAAGTCATGACCCCAGTAAGTCCTCAGGCATGTCGAGGCTGTGTGATTGGGTCAGATGGAGACCCCAGTAAGTCCTCAGATGCTAAGGCCAAATTTAGGTCAAAGTGTAAGAACTTGTTTGGATGCCATCTGCAAGGCATGGGCCACAGTGTAAGTTGGCATCAGGGTATAAAAATGGGCAGCTGCCCACATTTACCACCAGTTTATTATTGCAGCAAAGTCGTGGCAGGTGAGACTGGGTGGACTGCCCCACATAGACAGGTGGGCAGACCAAGGTTGAGACCTGGCCCTGAACATGCCCCTGTCACAATTAGGAACAGTCAGCATGGGATTCACTAGAGGCAAGTCATGCCTGACCAACCTGATTGCCATCTATGATGAGATGACTAGTTTTGTGCATGTGGGAAGACCAGTGGATGTGGCAGTTGATTTTAGCAAGGCTTTTGATATGGTTTCTCACAACATTCATGCATGCAAGCCAAGGAAGTACAGGCTGAATGAATGGAGTGTAAGGTGGACAGAAAACTGGCTGAAGCATCAGGCTCAGGGGTAGTAATCAATGGCTCAATGTCTAGTTGGCAGCCAGTATAAAGTGCAGTGCCCCAGGGGTTGGTCCTGGGGCCAGTTCCATAGTTTCTAGGGTTGGAAGGGACCTGAGCAGATCATCGAGTCCAACCCCCTGCCATGGCAGGAAAGAGTACTGGGGTCAAACAACCCCAGCAAGGTGTATATCTAGCCTCCTCTTAAAGACCCCCAGCGTAGGAGCCAGCACCACTTCTCTTGGAAGTTGGTTCCAGATCCTAGCCGCCCTGACAGTGAAGTAGCGTCTCCTGATATCTAGCCTAAATCTTCCCTCTGCCAGCTTGTGACCGTTATTCCTGGTCATTCCTGGTAGTGCTCGGGGGAACAGGGACTCCCCCAGTGCCTGCTGGTCCCCTCTGACTAGTTTGTAACAGGCCACTAGATCCCCCCTCAGCCTCCTCTTGTAGAGGCTGAACAGGTTCAGGTCCCGTAGCCTCTCCTCATAAGGCCTGCCCTGCTGCCCCCTGCTCGTGTGAGTGGCCCTCCTCTGGACCCTCTCCATGCTGTCCACATCCCTCTTGAAGTGCAGTGCCCAGAACTGGATGCAGTACTCCAGCTGCGGCCTGACCAGTGCCACATAGAGGGGGAGGATCACCTTCTTGGATCTGCCTGAGATGCATCTGTGGATGCATGACAAGGCGCGGTTGGCCTTCCTGACTGCATCCCCACACTGTTGGCCCATGTTCATCTTGGAGTCAATGATGACTCCAAGATCCTCTGCCTCTGCACTGCTGAGAAGGGAGTTCCCCAACCTGTAGGTATGGTGCTGGTTGTTCCTCCCCAGATGCATCACTTTGCACTTGTCAGTGTTGAATCCCATCCTATTCTCATCCACCCACCCCTGTAACCTGTCTAGGTCTGATTGCAGCCTACTCCTCCCTTCTAGCATGCCCACATCCCCCCACATCTTAGTGTCATCAGCAAATTTGAACAGGGTGCTTTTTATCCCCTTGTCCAAGTCATTGATGAAGATGTTGAACAGTGCGGACCCGAGGACCAAGCCCTGGGGGACCCCACTGCCCACATCACTCCAGGTCGAAAATGACCCATCCACCACTACACTCTGGGAGCAGCCCTCCAGCCAGCTGGTGACCCAATTGACTGTGTCGGTGTCGACACCACAGTCCACCAGTTTCTTAATGAGAATGGGGTGAGAGACAGTGTTGAAGGTCTTCTGAAAGTCCAGGAAGACTATGT